TTGTGCTGTTAGCCTTTTGCTCTGACACACTGTCAATTGTCATTCTTGTGAATGACACCCGTGTAAAACAGAAATGACAATGAAATTGAGGTGGAAAAGTATAGTCAGTATTGGTTTCTGTTTTTTGGGGGGCTAATTTAATTGTTTGAAGCTCTAGAGTCTCTTCTCTACTGACTGGAGGTGATATTGGTGTGCCATAACCTGGGTCTCTGCTGCCTTCTAGAAGGAGAGAGCACTGCTGAAGCTTTTTATGTGCAAATCTTGATGTGCCTTCCGTCTCAAAATCTGTCTCTGAAGTGGTGTTTGCTGCTCTGTGCTAACTGTACAGGATAAATCAGATTGTCCCTTTCAAGTGACTTTCCCAGTAACCCTCTCGGTGTTGAGATGTCAGGGGTGAGCTGGGAAAAAGAGGTTCTGGGCAGGGTAGGACCTCTCCCTTTTGGAAGCCCGGGGTTTTATCATCTGAACTTGGCTGTGATAGCACAGAGTGACTATGATGCAAAGAGAAGCCATGCTCTCTAAGTGCCTGGATGTTGCCTCTGACTTCCCTTTATGGTCTGTTACTGAAGATGGCAAGAAAAAGATTCAATTTTCATTTAATTTGAGATGTGATATACATGCAGAATCTCTTGGTGCCCTCTAAGTCTATGTGGACTTTAAAGATCAGCAAGCAACAACTTCTAGTTGTAAAGAAGGAACATTTTTACCAGTGCTAATCTTTTAAGCCATACCACACTTTTGAAGATACATTTTCAAAAGTACTCTTCATGAACTGCAGAATGTACATACATTTCAAAATCTTAATTTTTTACTTGGGTAAGAAACTGTAAAGACTGCAGTTTTGGAAGACAGAATGCAAATGTTGAGAAAATGGGGGAAAATCAGTCCCTTACAGAAGTACAGGTTTTTGGTTTTGAGGGGACAAAATACATTGTTCTTTGAAAGGTCATCCTTTTCTCTACCTAATCCAGACTAATAAAACCACTCCATCCGTCCACCTTCAGAAAAGGTGGTAAAATTATAGGATTCTATGCTGGCCAGTTTGCTACACTGTGCAGTTTTAGCCACTCCAGTTTATGCAGTTTTCTCCAGTTTTATGCAGTGGTCTGAACGAAGTCTGGAGGTTGAGGAGCCCCTTACCTGATGTTATTGAGCTGCATTTATTTGTTCTCTAAATGCTCTTCTGAATTTTGGGCTTTGGTGATCATCCTGGAGATGATCACCTCATCTAAATTAACAGGAGCTAATGTTTTGCCATAGATTTAAAAGGTGAAATTAATGTCTTATAGAAGAGCAGTGATACTTGCAAATAATCACTAACCATGTCTGCTGTGCCCTGTAGATAGCATAGCAGCTAGTTGTGAAATTTGCACTTTTAACTGGTAATTATTTTGCATCCAGGAAGTAAGGTTAAATTTTCATTTGAAGATATAGAAATTAAATGTTAGCTATTCTAGAACACTATGAATGTATTTGCCAGACTTTGCTCTAAGCTATGCTAACTGAAATATTTTTTCATGATAATAGATATTTAAAAATTGTGTCTACATGAATCCCATCTGTTGTTATTGTCTGCTCTTGTTACTGTATTGTGCTGTCATACGTAAGATAGAAAAAAATAATATAATAATTAAAATTAAGAGGGCATACAAAGACTAATATGTTTGCTAACTGAAAGTATTTATTGACCAGGAATTTCTTAGTTTGATACCTAATGGATCAATTTTCCACAAAAAAAACCTGTATTAAATTAATTGGAGAGAATGATCTGTAAGCTCAGAAGACAAAGAACAAAGCAGCTATTAAAAAATAATTAGAAATACATGCTCAACAGTTCAGTGTTGAGAACATTTAATAGGTGCTCAAAAATAAATTTTTATAGTTTGAAAAGTAAGACACTAGTAATGAGCTGACTCATAACTGTGTGGCACAGAAAGGCAGTGATAGTGAATGGAAATAGTCTCAAGGTCCTGCAAAGTTGGATTTTGCACCTGTTTTTAAAATATTTCTATCAAATATAAGGAAGACATTGTAAACATTACTGGTGAAAAGTTAGAGGTGTAAGAAACAGCTAAGAAACAGATAAAACAGACAGTTACTGATAAAGAGAAGATAAGCCCCTTAACTGAGCTAAGTTCAGGCACATTCAGTATATCCAAATACGATTTTGTGTCTTGAAATAATAAAGGTACACTATATTTTCATCTTTATTTCAGGAAGCCATTATTTTAACCTTCTTTCCCACAGTTGCATTTATCACTAAAAGCTGGACTCATCCTGTTATGCTGCAGCTGCATTATTTCTGCATTTGATGGTGTTCTGAATAAATCTGGAATGCTGTTTCCAGATGGGTGTGCTTCAAGAAAGACATAGAAAACTGGAAATTATTCAGTGTAGGGTTTTAAGAATTATGAAGGAATTGGAAATGTGCTGTTTGCTGAAAGATTTAGAGCTCTTTCTGCTTAATTTAGCAAAATCATGGTTAAGAGATTATTTGATCACAGTCTTAATGTATTTATTTGGGAACAGAAATGTGATAACAGAGTGTGCCTTCTTCTAGCAAACAAATAAAACACGAAGCAGCAGCTTTAAAATTAAATCAGCCAAATTAATTTGGAAATAGGATGCAAAATTGTAACCAGGAAGGGATGTAAAAGGATGTAAAAGTTGTAACAATGTACCAATAGGTATGACTAATTTACAAACACTAGAAATCCTTAAGGTTTCTTATGTTCCTGAAAAACACACTGTAGGGTTAGCTGGGTTCTAAAACACCAAGCCTCTGCATGATTTTGTAGCAGAAGTGATACATATAGTGTGTTATAGTAGGGCTGAGATGTGTGCATGCAATGCTTGGTGATCACAGTTGCTTCTTCAGTCTTAACAAGCTCCCACAGACATGGACTTCCTTGAAGCCTGTGGGAATCATATGTAAAAACAAGGATTTCTCACACAGTAGAAGCAGGTTACCAAGAAGAGATTATTTTCCCCTTCCCCCTGCCTTTTCTTTATTTCCATGTATTCAATTTGAGAACAGATTAAATAAAAGTTATTAATTATTTAGTATAAAACACCATATTGGATTCAAGAAACTGGAGATGCAAAAATAATTGGAGACTGAGACATAGTGAAGGAACAATTAAAGATCTTTTTCTTCTTCTTCTTCTTCCCTAAACATTAAATTATCTCTTTGGGGAGATAATTTACAGGACTGAGGGTTTATTGGTCTGACCCCATGTGAATTTTCCCATATGCTAATAGTATTTGTTTATTGTCTATTATCTTCTGAGAAATAAAATCTGTAACTTTAATCACAGCTTGTAATGTATCAAAATGAATGATACATTCAGTTCAAATAATGAACCTCTGAGAACAAGTATATGCAAAAGAATATTTTTTTTAAATAAAGAGGATTAAAAAAAACCCGAACAACTGAACTGAACTTTAACATTGATTAGTTGTATCAGTTTTACTATAGCAACTTGTGTGATAGCAATGGATTGTATCAGTTTTAATCATATCAGCTTAAAACTGGAGTGTACATTTTGTTCATAGAACTGTTGTTCTGATGTACTGGACAGATTTATAGTGCAGTTAATATGTAGTTAATACTGCTGTTCCTTTAGATATGAGTTTCCAGTGCTGGAAAAATACCCTAGAAATCCACCTATGTAACTGGATTACTTTCCAACTGTTGAAATTACTTTTCCTGTCTTGTTTAGCTCTGAATGTTTTCAAACCACTTTGTAGTACAGTATATGGAACATGTTCGTAGCCTACGAGTTGCCAGTACATCTGTGCATGAGCTGCTTAGAGCCACTGATTGAGTCATTTCTAGAAAAGCAAAAGAATTAGTAAAATACTTGAATCAGAGAGAAAGCTGCATAATTAGGGCATTGCTTTTATGTATCCTATTATGTAGATAACATGGAGCTGTCTGACTGGAGAGTGTGCTGGTGTAGACATTAAATTAAAGATCACAGAATTCAGAAGGTCTGATCTGATAGCAAGCACTGTCTTAGGCTTTTCCACTTGATAATATTAGACCAGCAGTACACTATGTACTTATCTTAAATATCAGACTGTAACTGTTCTTGAAAGATAAACATGCACAATAATCTTATTTTTTTTCTGACATACATATCTAGAAGTTTATGAAAGATTTTGTGTCTTTTTATTATAACAAATTTAAAATGCATATCATGGAAGCAGAGACTTTGCTACCATATTTTTTATTAAAGGCATCTGATAGTATTTGTTTCAGGCAATTTAGCATAGTTCCAATAAACATCAATATATTTGTGTGTGGTTAAGCTTTATATTTCCCATCAGATTAAAAATATTTTGCTTTCATTGTTACCTGTTGCAATCAACACAGTTTTGGTTTTTTGGAGCAAAGATGGTTAGGTGATCTATATATATACATAAAAACTGCGCAAATATTGAAATTTAAATTAGAAAATGTACTTCTACTTGCCATGTAAAATTTAAATATGCAGCACTAATCCACATATTTCTTGCTAAAATTTTTACTTAGCAGTTTAACTTTCTGAATAGCAATGGTTCATGACTTTATATAGGATCTATTTGTACAGCAATATCAATGAAGAATTTCTTTGTGTATGTGTATTTTAGTATTTTGAGGACTGAATTTTTTACTGGCTACTTGTTAAAATCCTTATCCTATTTCATAAATGTTACAGTTTGCATTGATAGAGTAAATTAATATGAAATGGGTTTAAATTTATTCTTGATACTTGCTTAAAATTGAGTGGAAAATGTGAATACTTTTATAGTGAGTATAAAACCATCCTATAAATGACTCAGTTGAGTATTTTAGGATAATTTATTGTTCACTGAAAATGCAAGAGGGAAAAAGTAGCTGTGTTCTAACACTGTGAACAAATTCACATATTTCATATATTCCATAAGTAGTACAAGTAAGAAATCACAAGAGCTGTAATTTGATGACATTTTGGGCATTTGTTTTTTCTTTTCAGTCGGTGGCAAAGACTGGGCGATTGCTGATTAGCCATGAGGCTCCCTTGACAGGAGGATTTGCATCTGAAATCAGTTCCACAGTTCAGGTACACAGATTATTTGTTTTTAAGTGTTCTGTGTGGATGAATATGTTTCCCTGTAGAAGAAGTACTTAACACTACATTAAAAGCTGAGGTTTTGTGTTTTTTTTAAATTATTCTCTTTTGCAGTTTTGTGGATGCTTGCCTTTCTTTATCTGAACAGCTGAGAAATAATGTACCTACTAGGCACTGTGCATAGTGTCTGCTAAGCTAGAAATTTAACTTCCACTGCAAAGCAGGGACAATGTGCACTGTGAGATGTGGGGGAAAACAAATCTTCATGTGTTGTCTGGTTTTAATGTTCTTTTTTTTTTTTTTTTCCTCATATGCTTATCCCTTGAGCTTCTTAAAAATACATTCTAGGAATGTTGAAATCAGACAGAGAAAAAGCATTCAGGTCCAGTACAGTATAACAAGGAGTGGCACGCAGTGTTCGGAGGCCTCTTGAGAAAAGTCTGCAGGAGTTCACTAGTTTGTGGTGATGCTCATGCACGTGTCAAGCTCATATGCACAGAACAGCTTGGAAAGGTTGAGATTTACATCAGTATCAGTTACAGCTGGAGCATTAGGTTTTGGAAGTCCTTTTGAGCTTTCTGATGTGTTTTATACCTGTACCTCCTTGGAAATTTTCCCCTTAACTTGATTTCTTTCCTGTGCACACCAGTGTTACTGGTTTATAGAAACATCTAAATTAAGTGTGTCCATCACTATCTGATGACTCTTTTTTGATTATCTTAAGATAGTTAAATTATAGGACTAGAGTGAAATTGGAGTGTAAAATTCACAAAATATAAACTATGTAGGCAGTAATTAAAGCTTGGTAATTAGCCTTTTTATGGAAAGGAATAGAGTTATTAGTTCTGGGAGTGTAATTCTGAATTAAATATGCAGAAGGCATCAGAATACTATGTTTCTTTATCTTTGTGGTATAGTTTCTTTTAAAGAGTAGTTGTACTAATGTACTACTGTACTGCTGTACTAATGTATTGCTACATTACTTTTAATGTAATTATATTAAAGTAAATTCAGTTTTTCTACCAAAATATTTACTCCATTAAGAACCAAATATTTGATTTCATGGAGACCTCCAGTGTCTGAAGGGAGCTTATAAGGAAGCTGAAGGGCATTTCATCAGCAACTTTAGCGATAAGAAAGAGTCACGGATACAAACTGAACAAAGGGAAATTCATGTTAAATATATGAAAGAAATTCTTTACTGTGAAGGTGGTGAGACACTGGAAGAGGTTTCCCAGAGAAGCTGTAGATGCCCCAATCCCTGCAAGCCAGGTTGAATGGAGGAGCTCTGAGCAGCCTGGTCTAGTTGAAGATGTCCCTGCCCATGGCAGGGAGATGGAATGAGATGAAGGTCCCTTCCAACCCAAACCATTCTATGATTCCATGATTTTTCATCCTTTTAAATAATCAGTATTTGACCTCCTTTCTTTAGTAGATAGTCTCAGATTAAACTAGGACTAATAATGCCATAAGGTACTGCCTGCTGTGAGTGCAAGAAATTAATTTTCTTTATAAATTCTCACAAAAATGTGAAATAGGCTCAACAAAAAGAATCTGTGTTATAGCGTCCTGTATTATTATCAACACTTGAGGAGAAAACTATTCTAAGGTGAGCAGCAAAGTCAAAATCTACCATATAACAAAAAAAAGCATATGCGGTGGATAAAAAAGTGAGCTGAAAAAAAAATCTTATCAGGAAATATCATTGGAAAAATATCGGATGCTCAAAATATTGCTAAAATTAAAATATAAGTTTTTAATTCTGTCATACACTGAGAAAGACACTTACCTGATTGATCCTTCTTGAGATATTGTTCTTCATATCAGAGATATATCTGACACATATCGCTTGTTTAGAAAACAAAGTTGAAAGTGCTTTAGTAAAGGGCTATTTATCTCTGTCAATAGTGAAAGAAAATACTTGTTTTATTATAGTTGCTCATAATTTTATAGTTGTCTTTCTTAGTAAACTAGGTTGTCTATCTTAAGAAATATTGGTGTATTGCATATGCTCCTCAGAATAAATTTGAATATAGCTCTTTGGCATTGCATTTGTCCATGACAAGTTTCTTTCATATAAATTACTTGACTTGACTCTGTGTTATAACCACATGGTCATTACTCTGTATATCCATTCTTGAAGATTCTATCATCCATACTAAATTGGATTATATGAGTACTTTATAGTATTTTGATGAGTACTTTAAAGTAAAGAGATTAAAATAAAAAGTTACAAAAGAACAGTATTGCTTTAGGCATAATAAAGACCTTGCTTTTCTTATTCAGTTAAAAATCTTGATCTTTTAATGATCAAGTTAAATCTGTATGTCTAAAATCACTGTGCTGTAAAAATGTAAACAAAAAGTGAAATTCTCTTTTGCTGGATACAATGCATACTGAGAATGCCAAAAATTGGGGATTGCAGTTGGCTTTAGTTTCTTCTTACACATGGAAGCAATAAGACTTCAATAAAATGTGTCCAGTTGGATTAGATGGTTAGTTTCCATATTGTTATTCCATCCTTGCTGTGAGGTCTAATCACAGAAATAAGGTGAATAGAAGTATATAGGCTATTTTAAAAGTTAGTGGTCACATACACTTGATGTGATATACAATTCAAGGAAAAGAGTTCAAATGGTAATGATGATGGCTTTCACTCACGAACTATAGGAAAAAATGTATTGATTGCTTTCCTTTTTGCATATGAGAGATTAAAAGCAGCATTTGGAGAGCATGTTAAATCAGATTTGTGTGTTGAGTACAGGATATTTTAAAGGGGTATGTTACTGCCCTATGTGGTCATTTACTCTGCTCGGACATAAAACTAAAACCAAGAAACTAAAACCAAGAAAAGGTGGTGTACACAACTCTACATGATACAACTTTGCCCTTTGCTACAGTATTTCATATGTGCTCTCAAAGGGTATTCTCAAGTGAGCAACAGATACCAGCAAAAATTCAATACAGATACAGTTAAAAGTCCCAATAGTTTATATTCTGTATAAAAGCTTGCAAAACTGTCCTATTCAGCAGAGGAAGTGTTAAACTTGTATAAAGCACGGTTTGAGAAGCATGGGGAGAGAAGCCCACTGACATGTCACTTCCAAAATAATGAAGAATTGTGTGTGAAAATCATCAGTACATTAATAATTTGTAATACACAGAAATATAAACCCAGTAACTGTGTCCTGTTTAAAAACAAAAATTAAAAAAGAAAAGAGGACCAGGCAGAATAGAGACAGCTAGCACAAAGAGTAAGAGACTCTTTGGATTACTTCACAGGGCTACTGTCTGCCAGCACCGGGAACTTGTTACGGGATGCAGGAGGAAGCATTTCAGAATCATACAAGCCTTGTGGGATGTTTAGAGAAGGAGTCAAACCTTGAGAGATGTGGGGGCCAAGGTGCTTTGGGGAAACACAGATATGGAAAAGCAGAAAGGGATAAAAAGGTAGCTTCAATAACGTGATGGTTGCTCTTTTCTGATAGGGCTGAAATAAATTCAGGGAAGTAGCATATACTCTTTGGCACTGATCCTGCAAATACAGGAAATGTATGTCTCAGGAAGATCTTGGTGGCATTCTACCCATTCTCTGCAAGTAATGGCTAAAGTTTGTGAAAATAGAAAATTACTCTAATAATGTTTTTTAATGTTTTCATTTACGGAATTTAAATTTTCATTTAGGAATTTCGATTTTTGTGTACCTTGATGCCATTATAGCTGGATACACCATGAAAATATATGCTCTTATTAAAAGAAAAGAAATGTGTATGAGTAAAGAAATTTGTTAGCTGACCTGGCAAAAGTCATTACTGTCTACACAGTAACAAGTCAGCGCATTGTTTTTTGTAGACAGTTGCTCAGATGCATCATTCTTGCAGGAACAGAGCAATTCTGGTTTAATCGTGGTCCCTGTCTTTAGCACAGTTTCTCTTCTCACTGCCTGGTAAGTACTTTGTCCTTGGGCATCTGCCTGCACAGGGGCTGTTGGGTCAGCTACCAATGTTCAGGTGAACAGGTGAAGGCAGCTCAGTCCTCAGGAGCCCTTCCAGAGGACTCAGCATGTTTCTCAGAATTACACAGAAGTATCAATCTTCCAGAAGATTGGTATCAATCAGAGGATAGGACTCAGAAAACTCAGTGAAATAGCCTGTTTCTGAGAATTGAGTTACATTATCTTATTTTTTCAAATCTTGCATTCTGTATCTACAAATTGGATATAACAGTATTTGACTGTTTGATCAGTGGTGCTTTAGATTTATTCCTCCTGCAGCAAAATAAGGCCCAGTCTCCAGTAAGTGGTGTAATTTCCTGCTAGAGTGTGGCATTAGGGAAAATTATTAGATGAGCTGGTTTTGTGAGAAGCATTTCAGGAAAAGTGGGTATATTGTGAAATACCTTCCAAACACATAAGAGTTCCACAGCAGTTTTATCCTAAAGCAGGTTACCATAGGAAAAAATGTGCCCAAAAAAGTTAAAGAACAAGAAAAAAAAAGTAATTATTTCAGCAGTATGAACATTTAAAATAAAATAACCTGGTACTGACTGATATTAAACAGGAACTGTGTTGAGTAACTATTATTTTACAAAATCCCAATGAAAAAATTTCACCTTTCCAACAAAATGCTTTCAGAATGTTTGTCCCAAATACTTCTTCATACCAGTGCTTTATCTGTCTTTAGAATTTGGGATGTTGAGATATTCCGAACAGTTCCATTATTTCAGTTTTCCGTGAGTAGAAGTTAAGGTGGGATTTCCCAAGGAAGCTGTAACAATCCTCTGTGGGTCTCTGTGGTGCTTTGAGGAAGTGAATGCAGTGCAGTACTTAAAGATACCCATGGGACCAGGTTTGAGTTTCAGATTATGTAGCTGTGTTTGTACTTAGTGCCAAAGGAACTAATGAATAACTTTGGGATTGATTTTGAAGTTATGGTGAATAGCATCAGATTTTGTGTTGGTGCCACTTGAAATCTTATTTTAATGAACAGCCT